GGGTGTAGGACCTTGCCTTTCATGACTTGAAATACTTCTTTCTAGCCCCTTCTTGCCTGTAAGGTTTCTTTTGAGAAATCAGCTAATAATCTTATGGGAACTCCATTGTAGGTAACTCTCTCCTCCTGTCACTTTTAAGAGTCTCTCCTTATCTTTACTCTTGGGTGACTTAATTATGATGTGTCTTGATGTGTTTCTCCTTGGGTCCAATTTCTTTGGGACTCTGAGCTTCCTGGACTTCCTGGAAGTCTGTTTCCTTCATTATTTGTTCAATTAAGTTTTCAATTTCTGGCTCTTCCTCTTCTCCTTCTGACACCCCAATGATTCAGATGGTGCATTTAAAATTGTCCCAGAGGTTCCTGAGCCTCTACTCATTTTTTTTTTAATTCTTGTTTCTTCATTCTGTTCTGGTTGGATGTTTATTTCTTCTTTTTGTTTTAAATCATTGATTTCAATCCTGGTTTCCTTCCCTTCTCAGTTTCCTGTTGGTTCCCTCTATATTTTCCTTTATTTCATTTTGTATAGCCTATTTCTTCTTTCATTTTACAACCGAGCTCAATCATTTCTGTGAGCATTCTAGGCGGTTTGAACTCTGCATCATATAGGTTGTCTATCTCCTTGTCACTTAGTTCTTTTTCTGGAGTTTTGATCTGGTCTTTCATTTGGGCCATATTTCTTTGTCTCAGCATGCCTATTAGGTTGTAACAGGCAGAGCTTTAGGTATTCACCAGGGTGGGCCAACACTCTTTGTAGCGTTGTGGTGCTGTCTGTGGGGAAGGGGTCAGAGAAGAAACAGTGCCGCTTGCTCAGTTCTTGCCATGCTTTCTGTCAGTCCCTGCCATGCTTTCTGTCAGTCCCCTGCTACCCACAAGCAGATTGTGCCTTTTCAGGTACTGATTCCCTGGGTGGGTGAGTTTGTGTATGTTCTAGGACCCCGTCAGCCTCTCCAGTGGACTCTCCTGTGAGACTGGGTGTTTCTTCTGCCACCACAACCCCTACAGATTTTTCCAGACAGAGGTTTGGAGTCTTGAATTTCCTTCACGAAAAACCCTGGGTTTCACAGTCTGTTTCACTTCCCATTTGTTCCTCCTAGCTTATCTGTGTATGAATGTGGGACAGCCATTCAGCCAGCCCCCACCGTGCCTGAGTAGTCTGCCTTCTTGCCATGCGTCCTCTCTGCCCTACTGCCTATCTCCACCCTTCCTACAAGTCTTGATGAATATTTCTTTAACTCCTTGATTGTTGGACTTCCATGCAGTTTGATATTCTGGCAGTTCTGGCTGTTTTTGATTTATAAATTGGTTATCCTTCTTTTGGTCATGTGAGGAAGTGAAGTGTTTCTACCTATGCCTCCAACTTGGCCGAAACCCCACTCCTGAATTTTTAGCCACCACATGTGGATGTGGGACTAGCCTGTTCTGTGTCTCTGCCCCTCCTACCAGTCTGGATAGTTGTGGTTTCTTTAATTGTGTAGTTTTTGGACTTCTATTCAACTTGATTTCTGATGATTCTGAGTGATGGCTGTTCTGTAGTTTAGTTGTAATTTTGATGTGGTTAAGTGAGGTAAGCACTGCTTACCTATGCCTCCATCTTGACTGGAAGTCCCATAAATATGGCACTTAAAAATGCAGCCTAGAGCCCCTACCCCTCTGTTCACAGTAGCTGTCTTGTCTCCTTGCAGAGTTCTACAGACCAGAGCCAGTGGAGGCTTGGAGCAGGATACTGTTGAGAGTGCACTGGCAGAATGAGGAATTCAGAGAAGGCTGTCATGTCCCCTTTTCAGCTCTCTCACTTGGGCTCCTTGCTTGTGTGGCATTTCCCTATGACCCCTTCCACTATGTCTTATGCAAGCTACTGTTATATAATCTCCTAAGAGGGAAGGTTCTAGTGTCAAGCTTTGAGACAAGTGCTTCCTGTGAGTTCCCTTATTTATTCCTGATGACTGTTATTTGCATGTCACAAATAAGATACATTTTCCAAGAAGTTAGCAGACACTCATATTTGATGTGTGATTCCTCTCAGGTTTATCTGCATTTCAGTCATGATTCCTGCATGACTTAAAGCATCTGAGGCTCAAAGTAACATGTCTCTAATGGTGGGATTTCTGCCACTTTCCCAAGACCCCTCAGTTCATAACTTGTAAACAGCCACCTTAAACACAGTTCTAAGGTACAAGGTTCTCCTCAATGGTAAGAATGGTAATTTCACATGTCCATTATTAGCAAATATTTTCATCATTCTTAAGAATTGTAGAGAGACTTCCAGCCAAGATGGAGGCATAGGTAGACACACTGTGCCTCCTCACACAACCAAAAGAAGGACAACAACAAATTTGAAAACAAAAAACAACCAGAACTGACAGAAAATAGAACTGTATGAAAGTCTGACAACCAAGGAGTTAAAGAAGAAACATTCATCCAGAGTAGTAGCAGGGGCAGAGATGGGCAGCCAAGGCAGAGAGGACTCATGGCAAGGTGGTGGCTAGTGGAGCGGGAGGTCCCACATTTGAGTGCAGATAAACTGGTAGAAACAACTGGGGAGTGAGACAGACTGCTCAACACAGAGTTCCAGCATGGGGAAATAAAACCTCAAAAACCTCTGACTGTAAAAACCTGTGAGGGTTGAGGCAGGAGGAGAAACTCCCAGCCTCACAGGAGAGTTTATTGGAGAGACTTACAGTGTTCTAGAACATACACAAACCCATCCACCCCAGGAAACAGCACCAGAAGGGCCCAATTTGCTTGTGGGTAGCAGAGGCAGTGACTGAAAGCTGGCAGAGAGCTGAGCAAGAGGCACTGTTCCCTCTCAGACCACACTCCCACATACAGCAACACAACAAGGCAAAGTGGTTTGCCCTACTCCAGTGAACACCTAAGGCTCTGCCCCTTACTATGTAACAGGTTCACTGAGACAAAAAAAATGACCCAAGTGAAAGAACAGATCAAAACTCCAGAAAAAATACAACTAAGTGACAAAGAGATAGCCAGCCTATTGGATGCAGAGTTCAAAACACTGATAATCACGATGCTCACAGAATTGGTGGAGTATGATCACAAAACAGAGGAAAAAATGAAGGCTATGAAAAGTGAAATAAAGGAAAATGTACAGGGAACCAACAGTGACAGGAAGGAAACCAGAATTCAAATCGTTTTGGACCAAAAGGAAGAAATAAACAATCAACCAGAACAGAATGAAGAAACAAGAATTCAAAAATATGAGGAGAGGCTTAGCAACCTCCAGGACAACTTTAAACATTCCAACATCCGAATTATAGGGGTGCCAGAAGGTGAAGAGGAAGAGCAAGAAATGGAAAACTTATTTGAAAAAATAATGGAGAACTTCCCCAAAATGGCAAAGGAAATAGATTTCCAGGAAGTCCAGGAAGCTCAGAGAGTCCCAACAAAGTTGGACCCAAGGAAGCACACACAAAGGTACGTCATAATTACATTACCCAAGGTTAAAGATAAGGAGAGAATCTTAAAAGCAGCAAGAAAAAAGGAGACAGTTACCTACAATGGAGTTCCCATTAGACTATCAACTGATTTCTCAAAAGAAACCTTACAGGCAAGAAGGGGCTGGAAAGAAGTATTTGAAGTCGTGAAAGGCAAGGACCTACATCCAAGATTACTCTATACAGGAAAGCTGTCGTTTAGAATGGAGGGGCAGATAAAGTGCTTCCCAGATAAGGTCAAGTTAAGGGAGTTCATTATCACTAAGGCCTTATTATATGAAATGTTAAAGGGACTTACCTAAGAAAAAGAAGATCAAAACTATGAACAGTAAAATGACAATAAACTCACAACTATCAACAACTGAATCTAAAACAAAAATGAACTAAGCAAACAACTATAGCAGGAACAGAATCACAGAAATAGAGATCATATGGAGGCTTATCAGTGGGGGAGTGAGAATGGGACAGAGGGGAAAAATGTACAGGGAATAAGAAGCATAAGTGGCAGGTAGAAAATAGACATGGGGAGTTAAGAATTGTGTGGGAAATGGAGAAGCCAAAGAACTTATATGTGTGGCCCATGGACATGAACTAAAGCGGGGGGATGTGGGTGGGATGTGGTGTGCAGGGTAGAAGGTAATAAAGGGGGGGATCAGACAACTGTAATAACATAATCGATAAAATATATTTTAAGAAAGAGCTGTAGAGAGAAATTATCTGTCTGTTGAACAACAAACAAAACTCGACATTTGATCATGCTTTACCTCTTGGTGTTCTTATCAGACAGTTAAGAAGAAAGATGCTGGATTCACCCTAGATGCATGATCTTGGACAAGTTCCTGAACTTTTCAGTTCTACAATTTCCTCATCTATAAAATGGAGATAATACTACCTACTTCATAAGGTTGTTCTGAAGATTAAACAAACTACTATATGTAAAACTCCTAGATGTATGCCTGACAGTGTCCCTGCTACAGGGAACCAACAGTGGCTCCCTTTTGATATGGTTTTGTGAGGAGGTGAGCAGTGTTTACCTATGCCCACATCTTGACTGGAAGTCCCAGAAATAAGGTTTGTGTAAGTACAACAAACAATATTATTATTATCACCAAAGAATCACAGTGAACTTTAATTTTGCTCAGCAAATATCTCAACTGGCCCAGATAGAAAAGGAAAGTTGTAACACCTCATGCAGGCCCAAATTGCCAATGAGTGCTTAGACTATAACTGAGGTCCTGGGTTCTCAGCCTCCTCCATCCTCTGTTCTACTTTCCAGTGAGAAAAATAAATATGAAGTTCCCAGGAATTTGAGACTACCATTTTCTGATCTCAAACAACTCTTCCAAAAACAGAGTAAAGCTCAAAAATGATATTTTTCAATAAATGTTTGTTCTAGTCAAACTGATTGCCCTTCTGTATCATTCTATCCTCTGCAGGTTGTTCAACAAATGCCTGTAATGGTCATCTTTGGTCTTTAGGCCCACAATGGCCTAAGTGTTGCTAGGTCCATAATCATCATCTTTGTTCTTTCCATTTCCCCACCTTTAAGTGTTATTCTAAAAGGCCTCCCACCAGGCTCGAATTTTCCAGAAGGAGACCACAAGATCCAGTACACAGTTTATGACCGAGCCGAGAACAAGGGCACTTGCAAATTTCGAGTTAAAGTAAGAGGTAAGAATACTGATTATTGGCTTTTCCCCCTCTTTAAAAGAGCAAAGGGAAACAGGCTCTCAAGTAAGAACCCTCTACAAGCACCCACTGCTATAAGGATACTTCCCAGTTTGGATTCACTTTTAATGAGGCCAAGAAAGTATGCCACCTTATTGATTAAATTTTCCAATACAAATCCAGATGAGGTTCAGTGCTGGCAGCTTACTTAAGGAGTCTGAGAGAGTGATAAGCTAGTCTCACATGAACCAGTCCTGGCTGTACTAGAATATTATTTGATAACTTTTTCATCCCTGGGTTTGGATGACCAACTAAAAGCCTGCAAGTCCTTCTATAAAGTAGGTTAGAAACTCCCTAGATTGGGCCACTGGATCATGTTTTTGGTGTTCTAAGACTTTTGGTCTACCTGAAAAAAAGTGTTTTAAGGTTTATTTTATGCCTCATTGTTTGGACAGCTAATTAATAACCAACCATATTTACTCTTCTGCATTCAAGCTCCTCACATAAAACACAGGGGGCTAAAGCAGTTGACCTCAGCATTTTCACTGGTATAAACAGTGACCATTCCAAGGCACATTCCCTGGCCAGATAGTCATCCCTGCCCCTTCATTCATTTCACATACTGATATAGAAGTCTGATTACAAAGCTGGTACATCTGAGACCTCACTTTCCCTGGTTACTCTGTGGAGGGGAGCTCATAACTGAGACTTGTCTGGGCTTGTGTCCCTACAGTGAGACGCTGTGGCAAACTCAACCCCCCAGAGAATGGTTACATGAAGTGCTCCAGTGATGGAGATAATTATGGAGCCACTTGTGAGTTCTCCTGCATTGGCGGTTATGAACTACAGGGTAGCCCTGCCCGAGTATGTCAGTCCAACTTGGCTTGGTCTGGCACGGAGCCCACCTGTGCAGGTATGTGTGCAGCCTTCTCTATCGCCAGCAGCAGAACCTGAAAATTCCTTGGTTCTGGATTCCAGTAGAGGGAGGAATGGTTTCATTCTACATACCTCAAAAGGTTCAATGCCATCCCTCTTCATCAGATAGGTGAAAATTGTCCCTGGATCCCTGCTGCAGGTTATCTTACCCACCCTCATCCTTTGCCTCTGCCTCTTCTGATTTCCCCTTTAGAAATTTTCTAACGTAAAGACATTTCTAATGTCTTCTAAGGAAGAAGCTGGATGGGGACCCAGGACCAGCCTTTAGTGACATTATGAATCAGCAAAGCCTGCTGTAGTTACCCTTGTTTCTCCCTTCTACAAATGTAATCATTTTTTTGTACAAAAGCAGTATACCACATGTACAGGCAATATAATGCCTCTTTTATAGCACTGGCTTGAAAGTCATGCAGACCTTGGATATTTATAATCCTTCTTCTTATGTCAAATGAGACAGATAATGGCTACTATCTGAGTTGTTGTAAGAGTGAAATTAAGTTATTCATTGAGCAATGGAATAGAGCAGTGCCTGGCCCAGTGTAAGCCCTCAATACATGTCAACTAGTCTTACTGAGGAACAAAACTTGAACTGGGAATCAATAATACTACAGAATTTGGACTAGTCAGAAAATTCTGGACATATCTCTAATTTAAATACTCCTATTTTGGCTCTTTTTCTAATCTTTTCTCTTCTTTATACTTCCCCTTTAATCCCAGATATTCAGAGTCAGATGAGAGAGACAGGCAGATATGCACCATCAGCTAAATATCTGAAGTTCTTCAACTTTATACGTTAAAGTAGAAAGAACATACTTCTTTCCTTCCCTATCTCACTTCCTGTTGTTGGGAGAATAATGGCCCCCTCCTACCAACTCCCCCATGTCCATATCATAATTCCCAGGATTTGTGGATATATTGCCTGACATGGCAAAAGGGGTGTTGCAGATATAATTAAGAATTTTGAGATGGAGAGAGTATCCTGTATTATCCAGGTGGTCCCAGTGTAATCACAAGAGAGAAAGAACTGTTGTCAAGACCAGAGAAAAAGATGATGGGAGCAAAGGTCAGAGAGAAAAGAGATTTGAAGGGGCTGTGCTGCCAGCTTTGAAGATGGAGGAAGGGCTACGAGCCAAAGAATGCAGGTGGTGTCTAGATGCTACAAAAGGCATGGAAACAGATTATCTTCTAAAGCATTTGGGGGAGCCCAGCCCTGCCAACACTTTGACTCTAGCCCAGTGAAACCATTTCCAAACTTCTGATGGCTAGGACTGCAAGAAAATACATCTGTGTGTGTTCAGGCACTAAGTTTCTGGTGGTTTGTCACAGCAGTAAGAGGAAAGTAATATACTTCCCACTCTTCTACCAGTACTTCTTGGGACCACCTCCTGAACAACTTCTCACAACTGAATCTTTATACCAGAGTCCACTTCTTACATATATGGTTCTGTGTGCCATCATAGGCTATATTGAGCCAGAACAAGTAGAGCATTTCTGACCTATCTGGCCCTTTCTAATTATAGCCATGAATGTCAATGTGGGCGTAAGAACAGCAGCTGCACTTCTGGATCAGTTTTATGAGAAAAGGAGGCTTCTTATTGTGTCTACACCCACAGCCCGAAACCTCCTCTACAGGCTGCAGCTTGGAATGCTACAGGTGAGTCCATGGGGTAAGGACAAGGAAGGGACCTTTAGCTGGGAGGATCCAGTCATTTCATTAAAAGTAAAGGCCAGCTTCAATGCCTAATCCGTTTGCTATGAGCTTCAGGATACTGGCACTTTAGAATTACCACTGTTCATTTCTGGTTCTGGGGCATAACCTGATTAGTGTTGATTCCCCAACATTAACCTAATCATTTTCCAACTAATACCATTAGTTTGTCTTCACTAATAAGCCTCACTGACATGCTGTCCAGGCCCAGCCAATAAACAATTGTCTTTACAGAACCTGTCTAGGATATGTCTGGGCTGGAGGTAATCAGTTGTTAGCCCAAAGAAGTTTGCTCAAAAGATAAGGGGAGTCCAGGAGCCCCCATGCCTCAGATTCTACCCCCAGTGAGCTTCTCCAACTCTCCCAGAGCTCCTCAGAGAGTGATGACCATCTTTAGAACACTGGTTCTCAAAGTCTGGTTCCTGGACTAGTGGCATCAGCATCAATTGGGAGCTCACTAGAAATGCAAATCCTCGAGCCCATTTCAGACTTACTGGATCAGAACCTATATTTTAATTAGACCAGGTGATTTCTAAGCACCTTAAAATCTGAAGAATACTTTTCTAGGAAATGTACCTTCTCAGGTGGGCAAATTTTGTAACTAAGTGAGGCAACCAGTATCTTTAAACAACAACAACAACTACAAATTGAAAAACTAGAACTTGCTTAATTTTTGTTGTTAAGCTGGTTTGCAATAAGAGTAGCCAACTTGACTGAATGCTAATGAGTCAGAATGTGCACTGGGTCATGGACACAGTGCTACACTTTTTTATTTGAGCAATATTTTATTTACTACAGTGAATGGAACTAAGTGTTTAGAACAATATTAGTTTAACAAAAGCTACAATTTTACTTCTCATTTAAGCATTAATACAATGAATGATAAGTCTTCATTCTCCTCATGTACTTGAAGGACTTCCCGTGAACTCTGAACAACCATACAAAGTTTTTCAGGCTTCTCAGATAGGAGCCCAATTCATTGTGTCTTTATCCTCAATCCCTGCCACCTTACCTCCATCCTTGTATTGCCTTGTCCTAGCTAGGGGACTTGCTCTTCAGGTAACACGAGCTCACACCACTCCACTCTTTGGGCAATTGGCCTTGCAGACTATATTCCATGATCATACATTTCCTGACCTCTTCTTATTCCAGAGATAAACTATTAAGTCAGACAGCTTGCTTTTCCTCTTTGTTGACAAACTATGGTTTTGTAGGTAAAATTTTATTGGAACACAGCAACACTCATTCATTTGTGCAGTGTCTGTGGGTGCTTGTGCACCACAGTGACACAATCGATTAGGACAGAGACCATCCAGTCCCACAGAGCCCAATGTATTTAACTATCTGGGCCTTTGCAGAAAAAATCTGCTGATTCCTGCCCTAGTCTAGCCCATTCATTTGCATACTAGCTAAAGTACCAATCAATAGGTTGGAAAAGATACTTGGCATCCAGGTGTTTGTATGTGACCTCTGCCCAGTCAATATATTTTAACCAGAGCCTTCCAGGGAAGTTTGATTGATTTAGGTGTTTCAGTTAGAATGATAAAAAAGTATATTTTTACCTTTTCTAACTTTTCCCCCCTGTCATCCCATATGGGGTTGTTTCAGTGGAATTGTAATTTAAAAAATGGTGTTCTAATAATTCAGGAGGTTCAAATTTCTTTTCCCATTTAGACAGATTCATATTATGTTACTTTTTGTTCCCTACTGCCATTGCTGCTCCTGATGTGAGACCTTCTGGCATGTGATTGAGTGGGCCACATTTCTGAGGCTCTTGCCAAGGGCTAGCTTAGAGAGCTGGAACCTTTCATCCTTGTTTCCTTGATGCATTTGGATGTGGGGAACATAGAGCAGAGGATGTGGAGGGTGGACACAAGATCAGATAGGGGGACTCTGGAAATAATCATCCCTCCTTGAAAAGACAAATTTAGAATCCTCTGGGGGTGGTCTTGGACACTTTCTAGGAAATTTGGCTCATGTAAGGTCTTAACCCATCTGGAAAGACAGAGACTGCTATTTTGCTTACGTTTTCAAAATCCCATTGCCAAGCCATTTCTGAATGATTTCTCTAGGAAGGTATTAAGGTTTTACAGCCACCAGTTTCACCCCAATTTTTTCAACTGTTTTCAAGACAGTGTGGAGTGGGCAAATAAACTTCCAAAAACAGACCAATTCTGTTTCTGTCAGTCTGTAGTTCAACATAGAAGTCTCTTTCTTTAGCCATGCTCATGCATTCCCTATTGTTTTTCTTTTTTACAGCAAGCACAGTGCAGCTTGGATCTTCGACATATCACCGTGGTAGAGCTGGTAGGCGTGTTCCCGACCCTTATTGGCAGAATAGGAGCAAAGATTATGCCTCCAGCCCTAGCTTTGCAGCTCAGGTAGGGGGACATCCTGTCCTTAAATTTTCTCCCTTATAAAAGTACTTTTTTTCTGATCAGTTTCCCTGATTTCTTTCTATTCAGTATTGATTCCAGGTAACTTTCAACGTTTAATTGCTTTTATTCTGGGAATATTATAGTCATGTTAGTTGGCATGTTGCTACTTATCCAAATGTATCATACAATAGGTAATTACCAGTGTTCTCTTATTTGACCCTCCAACCACATATTTTAACTTTGCCTTTGTTCTTTTTTTCTGCCTGGGGGGAATGGGATGGATAGAGGAGAACCTCCAAAAAAGACTTAAGCAATCCTTGGTCTTATTAAGAGGGTAGGCATCCAATGAGCCTTTCCAATCTTGGCCTCTTTTTCTTCCATACTTCCAGGACACTTGTCCATATCCCCATTTTAACACTTATATTTTATTTTGGGAATACTCACAAAGCCAGAACCATGGTGTTGCAGACTCTGAGTAATACTGCTTCCAAGAAGCAGAATTCAGCAGCCAAAAAGTAATTTCAGAACACCCAAAAAGTTTTATTTATATCTCTTGATCATCGTGAAAAAGAAAATTAGGCTAAAGCAAAACTGAAAATCTTTCTCACCAATCTTTTTCTCTCACACATTGTAAGGGACAGTGCAGATCTCTTCATTGCCTTTCAGGGTCCCAAGCTAATGGCAGCTCCACCATCTCATAGCATCAACATCCAGACTCATGGCTTCCAGATTTCTTCAAAAGGGGAAGAGAGAAAGTAAAAACAAACCATACTACTCTTTTATACTTCATGTTGAAAGCATAATATTGCTCTCTCTCCTAGCCCCTTGGCCAGGACTCATCACATGATTATGACTGATCTTCAGTGGAGGCTGGAAAATATAGTCTTTCTGTATTTCCAGGAAGAAGAAAATGAAATAACACTTGCTAAACCCTATCACAGATGTTGAAAGAGGGTCACAGAAATTCCTTGAGAGAGATAGAAATATGTCCTTAGCAAGTGATGTTATAGACCGACATAATAGTTTATCTCATTTCTTTATTTTCCATTTGCTTTTTGACCCATCCCATATTTTGTTTATATCTCTCTCCAACTAAAAAGAGTCACCCACCCAGGTAAAAAACTTAGAGGGTCAGGTATGGGAAAAAAGAAAAATAGAATACCCAAGTTCCCTTCATTTGAATGAAGGAGGGAGAAGTCTGGGTACACTCACAGGCATTTATGTTTTTGTCCTAGTGTACTTGCATCTAGCACCTCCTTTGAGATCTGTACCAGATCGTCTCAAAATTCACTACCCATCCATTGCAGAAAATACTCAAGGGGATTATTCTACATGAAACAAAGAATAGAAGGTCACAAAACTATGAGTAAGATCACCAACAAACTTACAGCACAAACAGGGATAATCTGTGACAACAAAAATGAAAAGGGGTGGGTGAAAGGTCTGAATTTGCAAAGGAGGATGAAGATCAGATGCATTCAAAAGAAAAAGGCCTGCTGTATATATGAAACTTTCTTTTTCATAAATAAACCTAATGGAAATCTCTCTCTCTCTCTCTCTCACACACACACACACACACACACACAAACAACTGAGACACATAACTTAAAAAGGGATAAAAGAGGTATGGAGTATCACCAAAAAAAATAAATAATAGGCAGAAACACAAAGGGGAAGAACCAATGCAGGCACAGAGCTATCAGAAAACAAGAAAATAAAATAAAATGACTATAAGAAATCCTCATACATCAATAATTATCCTAAATTTAAATGGACTGAATTCACCAATAAAAAGGCACAGAGTAGCAGATTGGATGAAAAAACAAAGCCCAACCACATGCTGCCTTCAGGAGACACATCTAATCTACAAAGACAACGATAGACTCAAAGTGAAAGGTTGGAAAATTATTTTCCAAGCAAATAGCATCCACAAAAAAGCAGGTGTAGCCATACTTATATCTGACTAAATAGATTTCAAGATAACAAAGGTAACAAGAGACAAAGATGGACATTTTATAATAATAAAGGACACTACATGAAGAAGATATAACATTTCTAAATATATATGTACCCAATCAGGGAGCATCAAACTATATAAAGCAACTACTAACAGAACTAAAGGGAGAAACTGACAGAAACACAGTCATAGTTGGGGACCTAAATAATCCATTGACAGTTTTAGATAGCCCAGACAGAAAATCAATAAAGAAATATTGGCCTTAAATGACACATTATATCAAACGGACATAACTGACATTTACAGAGCCTTTCATCCCAGAACATCAAATAATTCATTCTTCTCCAGTGCACATGGAACATTCTCAAGGACAGACCATATGTTGGGTCACAAAATTAGCTTCATCAAATTTAAGAAGATTGAAATCATACCAAGCATATTCTCTGACCACAATGCTTTGAAATTAGAAATCAACTGCAAAAAGGAAGTTAAGAAACCTATAAATATGTGCAGATTAAACAACATACTGCTAAAAATGACTGGGTCAAAGAAAAAATAAAAGGTGAGATCAAAAGATATAGAGAGACAAATGAGGATGACAATACAACATATCAAAACTTCTGGGATACAGCAAAAGCAGAAAGAAGAGGGAAGTTTATATCATTACAGGCCTACCTCAAGAAACAAGAGAAATCTTAAGTAAACAACCTAATATTACATCCTAAAGAACTTGGAAAAAAGAACAAAAACAACCCAAAGTCAGCAGAAGAAAGGAAATAATAAAAAATTCAAGTTGAATGAAATAGGGAACAAAAGAACTATACGAAAATTTAATACAACAAAAATCTGGTTCTTTGAAAAGATTAATAAAATTGGCAAACCCCTGGCTAGACTCACTACAGAAAAAAGAAAAGGCCCATATAAACAAAATCAGAAATGTAAAAGAAGTTACCACAGACATCACAGAGATACAAAGGATCACACAGGAATACTATGAAGGACTACATGTGACAAAATCAATAACCTAGAAGAAATGGATAAGTTCCTAGAAATATATAACCTTCCTACACTAAATCATGAAGAATTAGAGAATGTAAATAGACCAATCAGCAGTGAGGAAATTGAGGCAATCATCAAAATCTCCCCCAAGATAAAAGTCCAGGACCAGATGGCTTCACCAGTGAATTCTGTGAAACATTCAAGGAAGATTTAATGCCTGTACTTCTCAAAGTCTTCCAGAAAATTGAAGAAGAGGCAATACTTCCTAACATATTTTATGAAGCCAACACAATCGTGATACTAAAACCTGGCAAGGATATCACAAAAAAGAAAACTACAGAATGATATCTGTGGTGACAGATCCAAAATTCCAAAACAAATCAAATACAACAATACATTAAAAAATCATAGATCACGATCAAGAGGGATTTGTTCCAGGGCATAGGGATGATCCAACATACACAAAATGATCAATGTGATATACCACATTAACAAAACAAAGGATAGAGATCATATAATCTTATCAATAGGTGCAGAAAAAGTATTCAATAAGATATAACATCCATTTAAGATTAAAACACTTGGAGGGGGGAAAGATGGCGGCTTTACTCTAGGCAGCATGATTCTGGGCTTCTGTGAAGAGGAGGAAAACTCCTGGATCGGTGGAGGAACAGAGCAAGTGGCCTAGGTTACCAAAACATTTTTTAAAACAGGACATCAAAAATTATTGCAATCATTGAAAAACCAGATGGTAAGGAGACTGCTTCAGGACAAAAGGGACCCAGGAATCAGCGCGGGGACCAGGGGTTTGCAGTCCCCAGGCCCGGTGCTCCCTGGTCTGCCTCAGGCCTCCCGGGAGAGGGGAGTCGCTGCTCCCTCCCCTGAATATGGGGGTTGAGCAACACCAGGGGAGAACTTGTTGCTTGAAGGCACAGAGAGGGCAGTTGGACTGGGGAAAAAAAATCACCCAAGGACTGTGAACACCCACCCAGAGCCCTGGGAGAAGTGAGTGCCTCCAGCCGGAACGACCAGGGGCAGCCTGGAAGAGGCCCCGCACCCCTAGCCTGGTGGGAGTGTGGATCAGTGGAAAACCCAGACATAGCAGCCCCTATCGAGGAAAGGGCGCGGGCGTTCTCAGGTTTCTGGAGCCTGCGGTGCTGAACTGTGGAAGCATGCGCCCCATCGGGAATCCTGACTCTCGCGCTGTGAACCCGGAAGGGACGCGGCACTTAGTGCATTCCTAGAGCCCGAAACTCAAAAATTTGGTGGATGGGCGCGCTCTTTTATGATCCCCAGAGATGGCACAGTGAGTCCCAAAACATCACAGGTGCTTCCTGAGATCATACAGTTGGAACCCTGCGGGGACCCCGGAGCCCGGGAGAACATGGCAGTGAGCTCCTGAGAGCGAGCATGCTCGGGAGCGCCCAGGGTCCTGTAGGGGAAAGTCACATTGGTCCTGGGGATAGTACCTGAGACACTCACTGAGATTTGGCTGGGAAGAATGATAAAAGTTTCAAATGTCCCTCAGCCATCTGAAGCCAGCAAGATCAGAAAAACTGGTCTGGCCAGTTAGAAACCAACAAGAGGTTGTTTTGTTTGTTTTGTTTTGTTTTGTTTTTGTGGCTGTTGGTTGATTGATTTTATCTTGTGTTTTAATTTATTTTATTTTTCAATTCTTATTATTTTTATATCTCTCAATCCCTTATGTTTCTCTTCCATTCATCCTAGTATTATTCCTTCCACTCCAAATTTATCTAGCCTGCACTCCATCTTCTGCTTTTTTTCCTTTTTTTTTGTTTTTTTTTTAATCTTGCAAGTTACTGTAAATTTGTATTATCTTTTTCTCACTCTTCTGACATTTTTTATTTTAATAGTATTTTGGTATTCTTTTTCTTTCTGTATAATCATCTGTGCTTGGCTGGTTATACTGCCATTTGATAGGTTCCCCCTGGTATCTAACTCACAGTGTGTTGATAATTTACTATCCTTCATCTGTGTTCCATTAATACACCTCTCAAGGTTCTATATTCCTTATTCCTGTTATCTA